AAAAGGTAGGGAAACCATTACAATTTTTGCTTGTAAAGGTTTCCCTACCTTTTCCTTCCTTTCTCTGCTTTTTCCTTCAAACCAAACATAGCATTCGGTTGTTTCTTGTTTTTTTAAATTATTAATAAAATTTACAGTGGCCACTCTCCACCATAAGTAAATTTTCGGGTTAAAACAAGATATGACTATCTAAGATATAATAAATCTTGTAGAAGTTTCAAAGAGAGAAAAGAAAAGTCCTATAGTTGGCTCCAAACTTTAACCCTGTAGTCTTACATGTTGATGGGATCATAGGAGATTAGAATTAAAGCACATCTATAAGTTTCAAGTTAGAATTTATGGCTGTCTATGAAGATCATGTGCTTTCATTAAGAAGGAAGAGGAAGGGATTTGTATGGTTAATAAATTTATCCTACTATAAAAAGTGGGAATAGCTCTTATGGCTTTTGGACATTTTCTTGACCAAAAAACCTTTTTTTTTTGAAATTGTTCCATCTCTATTGTGAGGGCAGAAATTGTAATTTGAGTACTACTATTCATTTCCTTATATTCCCTCTCACTAAGCCCCATGTTTAAGGTATTAACTACAGTTCTTTCTCATAAAATCTTATATTTAAAGTATCTTTGTTTCTCAACATTAAATTCTGCTATTTAAATTAATGAATTAAAAGTATAAACACCTTATGTTTTTCAAAAGTTTTATGACAATAAAACCAGATTTTTTAGGTGGTGAGCAAGCAGCTCAACATTTGGGCCAAAAAGTTCAGTCCATAATTTCATAATTAAATACTAAAATTTTAAAATAAATAAAAAACAAAAAGCAAAGAAAAATAATTTATAAAAAAATTTTGGACACATCTCTCATTATATATTTGTCATATTAGACAAATAAGTGTAATGAATAAGAAACACTTTTATTAATGATGGAAATAAAATGAAAGATCGAAAATCATTTCAAAAGTGAAAACATTTTCCTATTTGATGGTGGGTCAATGGTTTAACCATTCAGGCCATATGTTTCTACCCATAAATATTTTTAAAAAGTAGGAAATATATAAAGAATTATTAAAATATACAAAAAAATCTTAGATATATCTCTAATATTATATATTAATCTTATGAAACAAATTAAAAGTAAGTGTGATAAACAAGAATTATTTATATTAATAAAGAAAATATATAAAATACAAAATTTAAAACTAATACAAAAATGAAATTATTTCTCTGTCTAGGTGGTAGGTTAATGGTCCAACCTTCTAGATCAAATGGGTCAAACTCATGATGTTATAATTAAATAATTAATATTTAAAAAATAATATTTTATAGAAAAATTTGAGAACATCTGCAATATTACATATTCATCATATTAAAAAAGGAAAGTATGAATCATATATACTTTTACTAATGAGTAATGATGATGGAAATAAAATACATTAACGATTTGAATTTGTTATCAAGTGCACATTTACTAATAACAAGAAATGAAATGTGTAAGGACTTGGTGGTTAATAGTTAATAAATAAGAAAAGGAAATTAAAGGAGGAATATTGATTTACCTTTCCCTTTCCCAGCTTGTATGGTTCATCTCTCTATCTACAACTTGAAATGAATTTAGCCTGAAGAAGATAACAAAATCGATGGATTTGGGAAAAAGATGGGTTCATCATGTGGAAAGAGCGAAAGAGGTGGGATCTGTATAGTTATTGGCGGGGTTGGACCATTTCTCCTTCAATCTGCCAAACAAGATTTCTATTCAATTCATTAGCTATCTTGGGTCTGTTTTGGAATTCAAAGCCCTGTGAACCTCTGAGATAACGAAGTATGCGATGAGTAGCTACAAGGTGAGGCTCACGAGGTTTGTGCATGAATTGACTCAAGGTTTGTACAGACTATGCTATCTCAAGCCTTGTAATTGTTAAGTAGATGAGGCATCCAATAAGTCTTTGATAAGATGAAGGATTAGAAAGGAGAGCACCTTCAGATATTGTCAAATGAGCATTATGTTCTATTGGAAATTGTAGACATCTGAGCACCTAAGAAATCACTATCTTCTAGAATTTCAAGTGCATACAGAATCATCTAAATCATCGGGGTTAGTACTTAGTAGCCAACTTCTTATCTATACTTGGTTTCGCCTGCATCACCTTAGATCTTAAGAAACCTTGCACATCCTGGGCCTCCTCACCATCTACAAAGGAGACACCCGACGTCCTCCCAAAATCCAACAAAGAATCCATTTGTCAGTCAATGGTGTTAACATCAGATTCAGAAGTAATGACAACACCAGCTCTTTCCACGCTAGTGCTAAGGGTTGCGGTTGACAGTGTTGAGTCCTTCAAGTTGAAACCAACATTAGAAACACCTGCATCCAAAAGGCGCGCAACGGAGTCCACCCGGAAATGAGAACTGCGCGATCACTACTCTGAACAGGCTTCAAAGGACCGTCACCTGCAACCACCGAGCTTGTCGACGTCGAAGGACCACCAAACGAGATAGTTGTCGAAGCCTTGACCCCAAGACATATACTAGGAAAGGAAACACCCACCCTAGCTTTCAGAGGGCAAAGAGCCAGCAGATTTCATTGTTCTTGATCTCAACAACATTTGGCGACAAAGGTTCAAGAAAGCCTCCCTTTCGGCAACACCTATATCCCCAGCAACAACTTTGATCGTGCTGTTAAACACTCTAACTAAGGTTTCACCTTCCTCAGAAATGCCCAAAGACAAAAGCACCTGTTGTGAAATCATGATTTCACTACTTACTAGTACAAGGAAAAACACATTTTCTCCTGATCCCCCCAATAAAATTATGCAACCTGTGATCTCCGTCCATGGCTAGCTCAAAATGATTAAGGAGTCGCCACCCATTTAATTTAAGAGGAAATGGGTCCTCCTTAAGTTGTGGAAAAAATGATTTTATTTTGAAAAATTAGGACTCTTTCCTCTATTTAAGAGGCACTGAATCAGGAGTTCACATCTTCGCCCCACAAGGATCCACCCCACAACGTCTCACAGCACATTCTCATCGTGTATTAGGAACATTTCCCGATAATGACCATTGAAACTGATACTATCATCGGAAGATGTTTCCAATACATAACGGGGATGTACTGTAGGGCGTTGTAGGGTGGCTCTTTGTGGGGCGGAGGTGTGAACTCCCAAATTTCCTACTCACTTTCTCTACCCACCCCTACTCATAATACACTGTAGCCACACATCTTCCAATATAACATGGCGATGTGTGGCTGTAAGTCAAGGGGGCTAGAGTGTGGGTAGGAAATCCAGTTTGATTGATGGGCACGAAATGCGATGTTCAACGGCAAAGTAGATCCATGCTTGTGTGATACGTGGGTCTTTTGTAGTATCAAAGAAACCTGTGGCCCAAAGGTGAGAGTGTTGGTTGAATTATTAGAAGAATATATTGGCTTCTAATCATCACAAATCAAGAGAGCCACAAATTTCAAACCAGGGAGAAATAAGAATATGACATGTTTTGAAAATTTAATGAACAGTTAAGGATATAAGTTGAATTAAAAAAGGGTAGATTGCTGAAACCTCCCCTGAAGTTTCTCACCATTGCTGAAGCCTCCTCTTAAGTTTGGTAAATGCACCTCTCTTAAACATTTTGACATAGTTGCAAGTAGACCATCTTTGTTAAAATCCTTTAATAAGAGACATGAAAATGTCCAAAACACCCATGCAGTTACTATTGAGGCTGCTTTCTACAGTAAAATAAATACAAACTTTATGAACAACAAAAAAAAAGAAAATTTAAAGTTGGAGTTTTACCTTTCAGCGATTGATATGAAGGAAAAATTTGAAAAAATAAATCAATTTTCGAAAAGAGATTAGAAGGGGTAGGGGTAGCAATTGATATAGAGAGAAAAATTGGAAAATAAACATTTTAGTCATAGTAATTACATGGGTATTTTGGACATATTTGTGCCTCTTGTTAAAAGATTCTAACAAAGGAGAATCTACTTGCAACTGTATCAAAAAGTTCAAGGGAGATGATTGCGACTATCAAACTTCAGAAGAGGTTTCAGTAATGGTCCAAAGTTCAGGTGAGGTTTTAGCAATTTACCCAAGAAAAAAAGCAAGAAAAAAGGTATATATTTAAGCTGTTTTTGAAACTATAGGGTACTTTTAAATAGTTTCCTTAAAACACATAGGGTATATAAGTAATTATCATTCAAAATATATTTACATTTCAACCATGAAAGAATATTAATTAATTCTTTTCCTTAATGATCAAGTTATCTCTCAATGGTGTTTGTGCCTTCATAGAGACGACCTAGAGAATTTCCTATTATATATTGAATTTTTTTTTTGTACTTTATGTAATTATATCAAATACATATATTAAAAAAATGCCTAAAATCATGTTATTAAACAAAACAATGGTATTCATTATCATACGTTAAATGAATGTCTTGCTGTAACCTAACCAGTGGGCTTGTACTGCTGTTAGTCAATTGGATCCAACCTTAAGGCCCGTTCAACAAATCATTTCGTGGAAGATATGGGCTTGAGATTTGAAGGCGTCTAGGACCTGGCTCGGCCCAATCGTATACTTCTACGATCTATATTTCCTGAAACATGACTTGGTTCTGAGTTTTGACGCCATTCAACCTGCATTTTCATGTGCTTTCTTTAATCTGTGGTTATATCTGTACATAGTATACAATACTATATTATTCGATATGGACGGTTGGGATTTTGAATTTACGAGACCCGTTCAATCTCCGAGTACCAGTTCAATGTGGTAAAGTATTTTGATTGATATATACTGTGTCTCTGTAATCTGAACTCTTCTGAATCCATTGGTTTCCCGTCCCAACTACGGGTTTTCTATTATTTTTAAAATTTATTTTACGTCTGGCACACGGAAAGAGACAAACATGGGAAGTGAACGGAAATGAGAGGAAGGAGAAACCGAGAAACCATGGAAAAACATTCTATTCTCTATTTTTGAATTGATGAAATCGGAACGAGCAACGAATGACTGACTGGTCAATATTCCGTACTACAACGTCTATAAATTCAAAGCTCGAACACTCCATGTTTCCTCAATCCAAACTGAGAACAGATAAACATTCGTATCTGATGATGAACAGTGATGTGAGTATGTCTTCTTCACACTTCTCTCTTCTCTCTCTCATATTCCTTGTTGTCTTTTTATCTTCTCTTCCATCTCCCACGCTCTCAGCTTCCTCCCTCCGCTGTAACCCAGCTGACAAAACAGCGCTCTTGTCAATCAAGAAATCCCTAATTAGCATACCAGATTACTTTGCTTCCTGGGTTCCCAAGACAGACTGCTGTCACTGGGAACATGTCGATTGCCACCCAATTACCAATCGTGTCACTGCACTCTTCTTTGATCAAATCTACGTCCCCTTCCACATCCCGGCGGCCATCGGCGACCTCCCCTACCTTAGAGAACTTGCATTTACAGACCTTGACATCACTGGCCCCATCCCCTACTCCTTCACCCAATTAAAGAACCTGAAAATTCTCAAGATATCTGGAACCACTCTATCCGGCCCCATACCAGGATTCCTCGGCCAACTAAACAAGCTCAAGAATCTCGATTTATCCAGCAACCAGCTTTCTGGACCAATCCCAGCTTCCCTTGGCAAGCTCGAAAACCTCAGGTACCTCATTTTGTCCGACAACCAGCTTTCTGGGTCGATCCCAGGTAGCCTCCGCCAGCTTAAAAACCTTGACTTGTTAAATTTGAGCGGCAACCATCTACGCGGTGAAATACCCAAATCGTTAGCGAAGTTGCATTTCAGAGTGATCGATGTTTCAGATAACAAGCTCACTGGGGACCCGTCGGTGTTATTCAAGGAGAATTCAACCGCTCGCGCGATCATGTTGTCCGATAACCATCTCGAGTTTGATTTGTCGAAGGTGAGATTTCCAAAAGAGCTGAACGTTTTGGAAATGGCACACAACAGAATCCGGGGGAAAATTCCCAAGCAGATCACCAAATTGAATGCTCTGAGAAAGCTGGATTTGAGTTATAATCGACTGTGTGGAAAGATTCCATTTGGTGGGAAGATGCAACAGTTCCCTGCTCAATCGTTTGCCCATAATCTCTGCTTGTGTGGCCCACCTCTCTCCAAATGCTAAATGTATCTGTTGCTGTTGCATGAGCATAGATTTAAATAAAATAAATAAATAAATATTTGTCTGAAAGTTAATTAGTTAATAGTTCATGATATAAATATGCTTTGCTTTGTTGGGCTATTATTTCCATTTGCGAATTATATATTAGTAGAATAATTTGATTATTTGAAACCTACTCATTTCCCTAGTTCTGTGTTATATTTGTCTCGGATGCAAGCATTCTTCCAAACACCCTATATTGATTAGGGTGTAAATGGATCAAATTTGAATTGAATCAGGTAATATTTGAATTTGAATTTGATTAAAAAAATTCAATATCTGATAAATATTGAAAATTAATATTTGAATTTGAAATATTCGATTCAATTAAAATTTGACAAATTAATTATTTTAGGTAACTAATAAATATATAAAACAAAAAAATTATTTATATAAATATATAAATTATTTACATAAGCTGATTATTATATATATATATATAAATTATATAAAAATTAACTTTTAGAACATTTTTTGATCAAATCAATGATTTCTGACCCAGGAACGAACTAAGGGTGAAATGAAACCGATTGTCAGAACATTTTTTTGGGCCGAAAGGTCCAACCATCCAGATCAACGACAGTTAGAAAACGCTGTTTTTTAGTAAAAACGAAAACACTGGTTGAGTGTGCAGAAATAGTGAATCGATCGATTTCCAAAGTGGTAATTACTCTCCTTGGCCATTGGTGGTTGAATGGTTTCCTATGGTCGTGAGCGAAACGCTTGGTAATCAGCAAACAGGAAAGACCTAATCGGGATAGGCATCTTGACTAAGGATAACAATGGCCGGAAAGGCGCACAGTTTGGCTGCAACATCATGGGCTACAGCATTAGCCTCCCCTTCGACATGCGAAAAGGAAACCTGAAAGTGCTTCTGCCGCCAGGCAGCAATGCCAGAGATAATACCTCCGACTCCGATCGGAGAGAAGTGATGCTTCAGAGGCTCCGTAATGACTGCAACTATTACTGTTGAGTCGGATTCGATGAAGGTGTGGCCAAAGTCAAAATGTACATCAAATCAGGAGGAGCTACGCAAGATGGCTGAGGTAATATTGGGACATCAAGCAATGCAAGGCTGGTTATACATATAATGTGGAAATAAAGAATAATTTGAGTTACAATATCCCAGAGATGCAACTTTTTTCTACCGAGTTTAACTCTATCAATGCTTTAATATGATGCAATAAATTATAAAAAATATTAAAAAATTAATTACTTTTGTATAATATATAATAATTTTTAAATCAAATTAGGTGGAGTTAAATCTACCTCCAATTTGATTATTAATGAGATGCAAGCTCCTATATCTAAATCCAGAATGATCCAATTGGATGTTGAATTAGGGTATTAAACTTTCGAAGTTCATTGATAGCTAGGGGTGTAAATGGAGCAATTTTGGGTTGGACCCTGTCCAAATCAAAATTAATTTGAAGGGGTTAGATGGACCATTAAGACATATTGAATTGGACCAGTCTAGTGTAAAGTATTTACTAAATTGGATTGGACCTGGTCCTTCCATAATAGATTTATATTGGATTGGGTTGGATTGATTGACCCAATATCCGGTTCATTAATAGAAGACATGAATACAGGTGCTTGAAATAGACCAAATTTGAGTTGGAACCAATCTAAATTAAAACCATTTTGAACATGTTGAGCAGCTCAGACATTGAATTTGTTTGATCCAAAATGGTTTAGAGTATTCATTGAATTGGATTGGACCTGATCCATGTGTAATAAACCCTTATTGGACTGGATTTGATTCACCCCTACTCCCTAGATCATCATTGACTTGGTCCTCATTGTAGTGGTAGGCTTTTGTTTGAACCATGAATGGCATAGGTTTGTGCAATAATTGGCTCCTACCCTGTTGGAGTACATTCGTTGTACCACTTCTTGATTTTCAAATTTAAAACATGAAACTTAAACCTTAAACCCTGAAATTTAAATTCCAAATCCTTAAACAGTAAAAACCCTTAACCCCTAAAGCCTAAATCCTTAAGGCCTTAAGCCTTAAATTAATTCTAAAATCTAAACTTTAAACCCTTAAACCCCAAAGAATAAATCCCTAAATTCTTAAACCTTAAATTTATTATATAAAATGCCTTATCCTCCAATGGGTAGGAGCATCAATTGAGGGATAGTTCACTTCCTACGTTAGATAATTTGACCTAGGACCAATGTGGCTTCGAGTCCCGCTACCATCATCTTTGATATTTATTGTACTGTTCATAGAAAAAGTAACGACTTCAGGTGTTGATGAATATCAGCCTTCTCATAGGTTATATGGTTGCTACGTTGGATAATTTCTCATAGGTTATATGGTTGCCACTCAGCCTTCTCACATAAATCCTCAACTATCTCGATGGATACCAATCCACTGATAAGAAGTATAAAAGTTTTTTTTTTTTTTGGTAAAAGTATAAAAGTGAATTTTGATGAGCAACACTTTCCCCAAAGTCTAGTGTTGACATTGTTATTTAACATGGTGGTGGATAATTGAACACTTCTTTGTTCAAGCTCTACGGAAAGTTACTTTAATTCTTAAAATTGGCATTGTTTAGTATGACTTTGCACCTCAGGTTCAGTCAAGGCTCACTTTAGAAATAATGCAAATAGAGTGTGAATGTAAATATATAGTGTAAAACGGTTCATACAAATGTAAAGTTGGGTTAGTTTTGCATTGATAAATTTACCTTTTTACCAAACAGATTTTTCGCTGTAATGGATGTAAACATGAATCCCAATAAAATACATTCCTTTTTTAACAAAAGCTTACATTAAATGCAAATGTACTTCTTTTTTATCATGTACACTTACATCTCATTTTCGATTTAAACATGCATTAGAAAATATGTTTTCTGTTATTTGTCAATGCATAACTGCACTCTTGCCCAACACTAGCAAAACTGAACCCGAGTACATATTTACCCTGAAGCGGGATTTATATATACTCCATTTGCATTGTTTCCAAACGGAGCCTTGGGCCCAAATCTTACATAAACCCAGCACAGCCTGCCTTGACTTGCACCCTTATTATATGTCCACTTCTTTAAGTGACAATATTTTTATATGTTGATTAATAAAATTTGGGAAATTGTCTAAAACTCACCATGAGTTTTCAACGTTTTCCTTAAACTCACAACTTTTCAAAATGTCTAAAACTCACCATGTCAGTAAGTTTTTATTTTCCAAAACTCACCTTCCATTAGTGCACTGCTAATGCTTCTTAACAGAGGTGTCCATATCAACATAAATAACAATTTTTATGACCAAATTACCCTTGAATGGCGAATTAGAGGAAAAATGGTCTTTTCAGTTTTCAATTTTCTTATTTTTTTGCATTTTTAGTATTTTGTTAAATTTCCAATGATTTTTATAATTTCTGTTTCTTTACATTTTCTATTTTCTACAATCTATAAAATTTTCTGTATCTTTTGTTATTTATTTGTAATTTCTTTGTTTTTCTATAATTTTTGGTGTTCTCTACAATTTTTATTTTCTGATTTCGTTTTCAATTTCTATAGTTTCTATAATTTGAAAATAATTTTTATTTTGTCTGAAATTTTTATATTTTTATATTTTTTGTAATTTCTATATTTTTATGTATTTTATATTTGAAAACATTTTTTGAATTTTTTCTTTTTTTTTCATTTCTAAATATTAAAATGGTAATATATTAACACCAGTTAATTAATTTTGTATATATTTTATATTTTTCTATAAAGGTTAAAATGATAAAATGTGAACACCCGTTAATCTCTTTAACGTCAAGTTAGTGACATGATGACTTTTAGAAATTTTGAAAAGTTGTGGTGAGTTTAAGAGAAATGTTGAAAACTCATGATGAGTTTTGGACAATTTCCCTAGTGGTTGCCCCTCGATGGGAGTAAAGTTTGGGATTAAAAAATGTAATTTTGTTATTAGATTAAAAGTTGAGATGACTCTAAATCTGCTGTGAACATACATGTAAAATGCGGGTTGCATATTCACTATTCAATATGTTGGTTTTAAAACTAACCAACCAGGATGTTTTGAATTTTATGTGAAAGATGATTGATAGTTTATGTATTTTTTACATGTTTAATCAAATAATTGGAACTTTTGTTATTTGTTCATGCTATTTTACTTGTGTATTAGTTATATATATTAGAAAATAGTAGAAAATTAGATATAGGTTCTAGACCCAAGCCTCCAATCCAACCCCCCTCAACTTCAAATGTGGGGACCATAGAGTTGGGGAGGGTTTTGCATTTTCATGTGTATGAAGGGTTTGGATTCTTAAAATCCAGCCTGCTTTGGGTTCTAAGGAGGGTATAGGTTAGGAGGTCTAGGTCTACAGTTTACAAAACCGTCATAGAACCCGTTCCATTGCTATCCCTAGTTATCATGAAAATGTTAATATTATATTTCCTTGAGCCAAGATTTAAGTCTTACAGTTATACATATTGAGGAGAAAGAGAAAGAAAGAATAAAAAAAAAAATCCTGGTTAATAGAATTGCCTTTGTTCAGTGAAGTTGCGGAAAATGTATACTTTGACACATGAACCGAAGCTCTGAATGGAAGAGTGGAAGCAGCAAGAACGTTGGGGGTAGAAGAAGTAGGAACCCACTAATTTTAATTTCCCTTGGCCAACGTCGGCTCAAGAAAAGGTTCTTTGCATCTTTCTACTAGGATCAAACATAAGATGTGTGTACCAAATAAGGTTATAGGAACAAAAATAGTGCTATTTCTTATTTAATTTTCTACCTTTACTCATTTCTAGCTTACTTTTGTTAAATAAAACAAGTTAGAGAGACAAAGGCCTAGTGTCAGACCCTTGACAAGTTGCATGATAGTGGCACGAACAAACCATGGCCTCAAGAAAAACATGCAAAGAATGTTTGTAGTGCATTTCCACTTCCCCGAAAGAACATAAGAAGTGCCTGCTGCTTAAACCCTTTACACTGCATTTGGAAATGATGAAAATGGAGTGTAAATCCCGGTTTAGGGTAAATTTGCACTCTGGTTCATTTTTGCCTGTGTTTGGCAACATTATATCTATGTATTGACGAATGACAGACCAATGCACATTTACATTGACAATAAGATTTAAAAGTATATCAATGAAAAAAAGTTAATTTGCATTTAAGTGGGCTTTTAATAAAAAAAAAAGCATATACTTTATTGAAATTCATGTTTGCATCCATTACAACTAAAATTCTGTTTGGTAAGAAGGTAAATTTGTCAGTGCAAAACAAACCCAACTTTGCAATTTATATGAACCGTTTTACACTTTATATATTTGCATTCAAACGTATTTGCATCATTTCCAAATACAGCCTTAGGGAATTATTATTAGAAAGATAAGAGATCTTTGTTAGACATCTTTGTCATGATCAGGATGCAGTGAGAAGCTTGATCCAGCGAATTGAGGTCCTTTTCCTTTGAACCACACTGGCACGGTCGGCCAACGCGGTTCAGAACCGAGGAAGTTGGTTTGATTGCATTCAATAAGTAACTTGCTCTCCACCGTTGAATTTGTTTTCATCAGAACGGTTAGAGCCATCCATTTGCCTTTCACTTAAGCCAAAATGAATCTCATCCCCTTGAGCTTGAAGCATGCCTTATGGCCCTTATCTGAAGAATGCTCAATGGAGGATACTAGGTAATTTACCAGAATGGTAAATGCTAATTAACAAGGTCCTGGATAGAGATACAGACAATTTGGCCTGATTTGCAGAGAGTTCACTCTGCAATTAACATGGTGAATGCTAATTAACAAGAGCTTGATCTGGGGAGATATCTTTCTGCTGATTAATTGCAAATGGCCTGTTTATCCTTTTCTTAGTTTTTTCTTGATTCCATGATTAAATGCAAGTTGGGATTTTTCAAAGTTCATTTCGTGGAGCTAACTTTCTAATTTGACACACCCTTTCACACACTTTGAGAGTTCACTACATTTCTTTCTTCCTGATATAATTGTGAAATTCTTTGGCTAGTTTGGGAAGAGTGCAAATACAAAATATGTATGATCAAATACAAGGTCCAGAAACATTACAAGAAAAATCAAAGCCGGCGGTTTATAGGCAGCGGTCTTTTAAGACCGCCACTATAACGAGAGAAGTGCTTGAAAAACATAAATAAAATAAAAAATTTTAAAAGTGGCGGTCTTTGCGAAATGATACGACGGTTTTAATCTTTTAACTGGTCTAACCAAAAAACCTCTTCAAACTCTCGCATTCTCTGCTATTTGATTTTGACGGAGAGCTCCAAAACTAGTTTAACCAAAGGTGAGTCCTGCATATTTTTGTTTTGTTTTTCTATAATTCCTTTCTCTTGAGTCTCGTTTCGATGATAGCTTAAGCATTTTATCTGTTTATAAATTTTGATCTTTCTTTGTTTTCTACTTTTTTTCAGGTTTGCTTGGTTTTGTCGACCCTGGAAACCCTACATTTGCAGTCGAGAATAAATCCCGTGAACATGGCGGTCAAATCTTACCGGCCAAGTTTATTTGCTAAGTTTGCAGAGGAGAAATATTGGAGATCTCATCATGAATGTTGGTTCTGCGGTGATGTTGGAAGATGTGCTTCCCCTCTTCATAGCTGATACAAAGTTAGAATCTTTCTTCTGATTGATAGTTCAGATCTGCGGTGATGTTTGAGATTTCAAAGCTGACAAAGCTATACCTATAGAAGAAGCTTTGTGGGTTTTGTCAATTCTCTTTCCTCTCTGTTCTGTTTAGTTTGCTTTTTTTTCCACTTCAGTTTCTTTTTCTTTTTTTTTTTTTTGAGTTCTGTCTGCAATTTTCAATCTTTTGTGCTCAAATATTTAAACATATTTGGTTTTTGCTTTTTAATCGAAGGCTAGGGCTTGACGCCTCCTGAGTCCAGAGATTCAACAAACTGCCGATACATTTCACCGACGATATTCTCTTAACTCCGACGGTAACACAATCTCCCTTGTAAATGTATTTCTTGTGGCTTGATTGGTGTTAGATGTTCAATGCATAATTACCACAGTATAGACTGTCAAAATGGATCCTTAAAACACCTTCTCCACTTACAGCTCTCATTAATTGATGATATTGCAGAGGATAAGAGTAGGAGAGGAGAAACAGTAAGGGTGATGTACAACACAGTATAGTTACAATTGAAGAAATTTATTCATATTTTCTTTATCATTAATAAATTATCTTTGGTCATCACTCATCAATATTGATTATAAAAGTTAATATCTCTATATGGGAATTGGTTGACATGCATAATACAACTTGATTTACCATGGTTCATACTTCAAAAATGATTCTTCGTCATATTCTGTAAATATTCAGTTTCAAACCAACTTGCTTGGGGTCTTCTTTTAGTTTAATCAAAGAGGCTCACCTAAATTTGTTTTCAATGATGATTGTCCAGGTTTCTACTTTCATTAATTACTTTTGACAATGATTGATTTATTGGATTATGTTATAATTTGTATATGATATTTGCTTTTGCTTAGAATTTGCTAAAATTAGTATAAATTTCCATCAATCACTTATAAGGAATTTGCTTTTTTAAGTACCTTTGTCATTTTATTTGAGGTATGTGTGATATGAGCAATGCTATCCTCATTTTGAAAACTTTCATGGTTATTTGGCTTTGATATTCCTTAGGAAGTAAATCCTTAATATGCCAGATTTGTTAAGAAATGCAGAACTTGAAGAAAATACACTGCTTGAAGTTATTTTTATTGCTTATTGTTAGAAGAAATGCAGAACCTTGATAATTCCTTAGGTTCACAGATATTCCTTAGGTCCCATGGGGGTATGCAACCATGGCCTGAATTCCAAAGCAATTGGGAAAATTTTGAGTCTTCTGATTGCCAGATTATTGGCATTTCAAACATATTCAAACATGACTAGTTCGTTCCATGGAGAAATAGAAGAAACAAAAAGGATTCGTTGATAATGAACTTATATTTAAAGATGTTGTAGGTTTTTTTCAATCCATTTGCATTTTTAATTGGATTGGATTGGATTGCAGATGTTGTAGGTTTTTTCATATATTTTCCGGGTTTTTATGTAACTTTTAAGTTTCATTTAGTTTGGATTGGATTGGACCCAATCTAATCCATTTGCATTTGAATTGGATACAAACAATATAGGTTAGTAGGTCTTGGTATGAATGAACAAGAGCTTAAATCCTGTATGTTAACATTCTGCACCGTGCCCTTTCCCCACCCTTGAGTCCCTTGTAATCTGTACAAGACCTGGAATTAAATCTTATCTTCATTGTTGCTTATTTGTCTCTCTCTAAAATACACACAAACAAACAAGTATACATGCTGAATTATTTTATGTTCACTTCCATGTTCTAAAACACACTTTCCTATTATTGCAGATTGGCCCTTTCCAAGTTTCCAAGTTGACCCTGAGTATGTTTTTTCACAGCCTGAAACTTTGACCATGCCTGTTGTAAGTTCTGTTGGAGGTCACCATGAAGCTAATGCGTAATTTGGGTTTTTTCTTCCTATCTTTGTTTCTTTGAACACTCACAAAACAAACTTTATTAATTATAATCCCAAGAACTTTTTTCTATGCATGGTATGCTAAAGAGAAGCATTGGCTAGCCAACAATATATTGGGATTAGCATTCTGCATTCAAGTCTACTTCAAAGATATCAACACTTGTGTTCTACTTAGTTTTAACCCCCCCCCCCCCTCAAATGCTTATTTGATTTTGTTTCCTTTCATTTCATGTCCTCCAACATTTGTCTTACTGCACATGGACATGGCTATTCACACCCATTAAGCGCCTTAATACTCAGTATCAACACAACTTAAGAGAGTTTGTGCTTGCAAGCCGTATATTCACTTCCTACATGGAAACCTCCTCTTCTATGATTACATGGAAAATGGACATTGTGTTGTTGAGAATTTTATTTTTTTTTAATCTTTTCTATTTGAACAATTGGGCATTGTATTTGAACAATTTTTTTTGGATATTATAACAATTAATTGTAAAATTAATAAATTTTGTTTTAAATTGCATTTTTCTACATGTTTAAGTTTTATGTATAATTGTTATGGAATTTGCATTAAGCAAGTATTAAAGTAATAAATCAATAAAATTGCATGTACAAAAAGCATATCAAAAAGAAAAATAGGATCTAAGCCGACGGTCATAAAGATCTAAGGTGGCGGTTTGACTGCCGCCTAAAATGTGGGAAGAATGTTTGGCAGACTCAAAGGCGACGGTCATAAAAATCTAAGGCAGCGGTTCCAAATGTCATCTAAGAGGGGCATGGGCCTGAGTGGCGAAGTCTGAGGTGGTGGTCCAGTCTTGCTTTTAACATATATAAGCCGGCGGTCCTGACAAGCTGCCGCTTTAGAGATACTTGGACCGTTTTTGGAACGACCACCAAAGGCGACGGTCATTCTTATCTAAGTCAGCGGTCTTGACCAAGGTGGCACCCGCTTAGATGTTTTCTTTTTTATCAAAAGCCCACTTGAATGCAGATTTACTTCTTTTTTATTGATGTACTTTTGCATCTTATTATCAATGTAAATATGCATTGGCCTATCATTTGTCAATGTAAAAATGTAATGTTGCCAAACACAAGAAGTTGTGAACCAGAGTGCAAATTTACCCTAAACCGGGATTTACACTCCATTTGCATCTTTCCCAAATGTAGCCTTAAGCACTTCCCCTCAAGTTTCTTTTTCTCTCTCATTTGGAAAATAAAGGAGGGAGTTTCTTCTTTCTCTGGTAAATAGGGGTGGATTTGATCGGATCCAAGACAAATAGCTAGTTATTCGAGCTCAGCTCGCCAAGGTAGTATGAGGCTCGAACTCAAGCTTGAGCTCAAGCTCATTTCTTTTTCTTTTATTATTATTATTATTATGCAGCTATTCAAGCTCGGCTCACGAGCTGAACTTTATTAGGCTTGAGCTCGGCTCGATTAATAAATGAGCCTATATATTAGGCTCAAACTCGGCTTGAAGTTCGGTTGAAACCGAGCCAAGCCAAACTTTCCACAAGCCGAGCTCAAATAGCTCGTGAAGAGCTCGGCTCATGGCCACCTCTGCTGATAGAGAAGAAGGTTTGGAACTTTGGATTCTTCTAACCCGGGTGGGTTGTACATTTCAGCTCATAAATGGGCTGTGTTCAATCTTTTTATTTCTATTGATTTTTGAAGCCCATCTGTACCCTATTCCATCGTACCTAGAGCGATTCAACTTTGCACTGACCAGCGTGAATTAAGGCTAACCCAGGTCCAACCTCTAACACTTGGCCCAACCTCAGGCCAGCCCAACTCTGCTAAGGCCGAGTTGGACCAGCCCAAGCAAGCTAAACCCTAACAAAAGTTGTGCTGGTTGGACTTGGGTCTGTTGATGGGATTTGAGCATTTTCTTGTTCTTGCTCCTTTTCTTTTCATTATGCTAAGTTTAGGTCTTTAGCCCAACCCAATATGATCAATCAAGCCCTGTGTGAAGAACCAAGACCAACCCATGCAAATGCTTGATTCCTTTGGATCAGGTTATTCTTGCCCAATTTGCAAGAATTGGGCAAGAACCGAACGCATCGAGCCAAATTAGATATATAATACTGTTTCAGCTGAAACTCTGCATAGCCAACTCTGGAGAGAGATCGGCTTCGATCAGGGCAAACCTGTGCCCATACTACTCTAACAGTCTTTACCAACCTTGGGAATATCTCCCCATAAAATGAAACACATAAGTACGGAGATATTCTCAATGCAAGGCAGTAAAGGCTGCTCGAATGGACTTTGCCCTGACTGAAGCTGAATTCCTAAGGAGAATTCCAAAATGACTTAAATTGCAATTAGGGTTGTAATCATGCTAGATTTGGATTTAACCAAAGTCCAATTTATTGTGTTTAAAATGAAAAAGAAAAACATAAAAGTTCTAAAAAATTATTTACTTTTTAATTTATATCAATATGAAATATTACATTTGTTAGTTATAAATAATATATATCATCATCTATTGTTCGAATTAAATTGCAATTAAATGGGATAGGCTTACATGAATCCTGTTTTTCCATTCTTTTCTGTTTAGTGCATAATCATTGTTAAATTTTGAGCAATTTAATCATTTCTTACTAGGTGGATTTATGTCCTTTTTGGTCTATCACTTGCCATTCTAACCCCTTCAACTTGTAATAGAACACTTTTTGCTTATGAATGCATAGGTGGTCTTCTATACTTAGTCAACTTTTTCTTAGGTTTCAAGTTCTAACATCCAGATCTAGGATAACCAGATCAGATGTCGAATTCGCACAGGCCCACAGACATATAAAGCTTAGAGCCTCCAAATATGGGTGATCATTCCTAGCCCGGCCCACATTAGGATGGGCTCAAATATTGTATTTCCACCTGTATTAATTTGCAAGAAAGAAGGAAAGAAAGAAAGAGAAAATCCAAGAACCATTCAAAGGGAAAGCTTACCAAATAGTGGGGGAATGGGTTACCGTTCGTTATACACATTGTTCCTGTCGCCATCCTTCCGACTGACAAAGAACCAGACAAAGCAAAATACCTTTTGGAGAAAATAAAATAAAGAAAAAAAGAAGAAGAAGCAGAAGTAGAAAGGAATTTGACAACCCCATTCTTACAATGCTGGTTCAAAGGGCTTGTTTGAACATTACTTGGGATGTTCATGCTGAAAAGAAGGTTGTGGGTCAAAAGTTCAAGTATTGAATAGAAGTGGGAGGTGCTGCTTTTTTCCTTTTTTTTTTTATCAAAGCTTGGATTTGTGGTGGTGCAATTTCTAGAGGAATATACGATGCTTGCAAATTGGTAATCGAAGCAAATGGTGCGGTTTCTCATTCGTTGTTTGCCTCTCTGATTACCCTCCCTCGACTAGTCCAGTTACACATGCAAAGAATGTTTGTAGTGCTTTTTCCACTTTCAATTGCAAAACCGGCAACAACATAAAAAGTGAATTCATTAATGCTACTTGAACCCCTTTTGGCCGGGAATTATTCCTCCCTAGAGCGAGGAAAGGCTATCGAGAACATATCGGAAGGAATAATCTCTGGTAGACGTCTTTGTCATGATCGGGAAGCAGTGAGAGAAGCTTGTTCTAGTGGGAAGATTGAGGTCCTTGTCCTTTGAACCACTGGCAATGGCGGCCAATGTGGATCATTATCAAGCAAGTGGGTCAGATTAATTACTTTAACATCAGTATCTCTCCCTCTTCCATCCAAAATTTTGCTTTGTTCTTGGGCACTTCAAATGGATAGAACCATCCATTTTCCTTGAATTTCAAGCAATGAATCAGCAATTGTAACAAACATATGGAAGCATGCATATGCCAACCCAGGCAAAGGTTGTTCTAGTCAGGACCATGGCTACACACAATGGGGTAGTCTTCTCCAAACCCCTAAACCCCAAACCCAAGAGTGAGGAAGGCCGGATTCGATTTCAGGTTTCTTCTATGACTAGCTAGAGACTTTACCAGCAAGCTATCTCACACCTTCAAAGGAGCTGTTTAGTACATGGCATGGTTGAATTTCTTGATTCCCGATGCGGGGTGGTTGTATTCTTTGCAAAATTTTGAAGAGTACAATTTGGCTAGTAACCATTTGATTCAAGGGCATAGTCAAGATTTTTTTTCTTTGGGTGGAGGGGGGAATAAAACCAAAACTAGGGGTGGCCACGAGTCAAGCTTCTCATGAGCTATTCGAGCTTTAAACCGAGTCAAGCCGAGCTCGAGCCTGATATATAGGCTCATTTGTTAATCGAACCGATCTCAAGCCCAGTGAAACTCTAGTATAATAAATAAATAATTTTTTATTATATACATACATACATACATACATATACATATATATATGCACATATAAATATATAAATATATATATAATAAATAATTTTTGTTATATATAATAATATTTTTATTTTTTATGTATAATAGTAAATAATTTTTATAATTCTTAATTTTTGTATGTAAAATAAAAATATATATTTATATGTATAATTTTTATTTTTTAGAAAAAACTTGGCTTGAAATTGACTCGAACTTGCGGGCTTTGAATCTAGCTGAGCTCGAGCTCGAGCTCAAGCCTAACACAGTTTCATAGAACTGAGCTCGAATAGCCAAGTATTCAGCTCAGCTCGGCTCGAATCCACCCCTAACCAAAACCATTCACAAAGGGTTTCAATACACACCACACCATCAAAAGAATGCCTAATGGGTGCAATGTTCCAAACCAACTAATCCATGGAATATACAGGGTTCTACCAAACTTTTCATTTTTTTAGAGCCCCAACTCTAGGTAGAGGGGCGACCACCTAAAATTTTATTAGTCATCATCGAAAAAAATAATAAAAAGAAACAAGGGAAGACATAGCCCACCTTACCCCTAAACCCGAGATTATAAAACACTCCCTCACACTCTCAACCCAGACCCATGCAAGCTTAAGCCAAGGAGAAACAACCCTAAAACTAGAATAATCATCGAATCCTTGAAGCTCTGATTTGGCAAGAATAGGCCTGGTCTGGTCTGACAAATTAAGGTCTTTTGTTTTTATATTAACTTTTTTTATATATATAAAATGGTTAAGGTTAATTAGTGGACTATTAACTCAATTCAACACTCTTATTAAGTTTATGTTATGTTAAAAGTGT